AAGAAATGTAACTCTTGTCTATGATAAGGTCAGTCAAGTACCCTCAGGATTTATCCTATAGCCCTGTACCGTACTTTGTAGATTCTTTGTCAGTGTCAGCCATATGGATGAGTCACAGCCATTGCTTGACCACTTTGCTCTCTGTGAAAGCCTGAGAGAATGTTTTCTCTCCAGTTGACTCTCCGTAGGCACACTCTACGTCATCAATCGCATTGCTCTGTGGCCCCATAATCTCCTTGATCAGAAAATTTGGGACACAACTGAGTTACCTGATGTTCCAGTACAGGTTCTCCTATATCCTGAGTCTTCACTGACCTTGAAAGGCTAGGGCCAAAATGCTGGCTGTCCTTGCAGTCCTTCTATTTCTCTAATTTTTGGTCTGCAAACTTATGTTGTTAACCCTCCAGAAGAGCTTATTATTACCCTACAACTTATGCAGTTGGGTTTAACTTCACTATCTGTTTGATGTTTGAATCTTAAGCACAAAATGGAGCAGGTATTTTCCATCAAGTATTGATATGTTAAACATTAGGTCCCTACAGAATATGAAGATAAAAATTTAAAAAATGAAAAATATTTAAAGAATATGAATAAACAATTATATATTTTTCTACAGAAATTTAGAAATCTAACCATATACAGCATTGTAGAAGGACAGTCCTATGACTTTTTCTTTTCCTTGTGTCTTTTTTTCATTTATTACCCATTTAAAAGAAAAAAAACCTTTACTTGTGAGACAGTATGGTAATAATTGGTATGTGCATTTAGAAGACCAGAATGACAGGCTTTCCAAGCGTGACCCTTGTATTACACTTTGCTATCTTCAGTGCAGTTGCTTGGTTCACAGGTATCAGCGCATATAGTTAGTCAGGGTGAGAAGCCTACCAATTAACTGCTAGTTTCAAAAACCTGCTGATGTTTCTCAGGATCATTGCCTTGCCCATCTTGTGCATATAAATGTATGGCTTTGTCCCTGTCCTGTTTCCCAGCTTTTCTCCTTACCCTCTCCTCATTGTCTAATCCTCAAGTTCTCACTTTCCTTTTATTTGTGTTATATCTTTCTATTTGTATTTCTTCTTTTGAGTTCTTATACTAGGGAGACTATATGATATTTACACACGTGGGTCTGGCTTATTTCACTTATATCTTCAAGTGGCATCCACTTAAATATAAATGCTTCAGGTTTATCATTCTTTATAGCTGAGTAATACTCCATTGTATAAAAATACCACATCTTTTTCAACCATTCCTCAGGCGATGGGCATCTTGGTTGTTTGCAAGTTCTGGCTGTCACAAATCGTGCTGCTATGAACATAGGTACACATATATCACTATGAAATGACGTTTTCAGTTCCTCCAGGGAAGTTCCCAGTAGGGGATAGCTAGCTTGAATGGGATTTCCAGTCCTATAAACTAGAGCTTTTTTTAAATTGTATTTTCTTTCAAAGGGAAAGTACATAGTATTAATTTATCACATTTTAAGAAATGCCAAATGTTATTAATTAGACAAGAAAGTATACAATCCCCACGTAGGACAGTATGTGAACCAGTTTAAATCTACAAACATACACGAGTGATGTATTAAAGTACAACACAGCTCAGCGCCTGCCTGGCAAGCGTGAGGTCCTAAGTTTGATGCTCGGTACCCAAATTAAGGAAAAAAAAAAAAAATCAAGATAGACATAGCTTCTGGAATTTCACCTACTTAGTCCTGAGTTTTTTAAAAAATCATTTATTTATTTATTTAGTACAGGGTCTTGCTACATAGCTCAGACCTGTAGTGACCCTGCTGTCTCAGCCTCGCCAGTGCGAGGACTCCAGATGTGGCCACCACGCCCCGTTTCGGTGGCCCTCACAGTATGCCTGGAGTCGCTGGCTCCGCAGGCTGACACGACACGCAGTGAGGACTGAACCCGTGTCCTTGCACTCGCAGGCAGGCACTTGGACTGCTGAGCTACCTCGCTGTCTTCCCAGCCCCACTATGAGGTCTCTAAGCCACTTGTAAGACCCAAGAAAAAGTGTTCCAGACAGGTTCAGCTCTTGCATTCCTTAAGTTCTGCACATAGTCTACCTCTATCACGCCACTCACTTTTTTTTAACACTAAAATTGTGGACGGGAAAATACCGTGGAACAGCATGAGTCATGGACAATGGCCGATGTCCTCAGTGGTTTTCATTCAACCCTGAGCTTCATCTCCATTCAGTAAAGAAACTGACCAGCTCTGACAGTGTAGCAATCACCACAAGCTGGGCCACAGACGCCCGCAAACGCACAACGCCCTTTAGCAGTACAGAACAAGCAAGACTCATTCACAGAAGCAGTGTCTCCCTGGGGGTAGCGACCAGCAGGCGTGAGGGGACATGGGCCAGTATTAACTGAGAGGGAGGGGAGGGGAGAACGACTTTAGGGCTTCAGAGAGGAGTCCAAACTCACAGGCAGGACCAAAGCTGTGCTCGCTTGTGGACCAGAGAGGCCCAAAGGTCCAGCAGCACAGGAGAGAAGGTAAGAGGAGGAAGATTCCTGACTTGGAGCTAAATGAGGAGGAAAGGGACCACACCTTTCCTCTTCAAAGGTAAATTTAAGGGCCAGCCAAATAGCTCAGTGGATTAAAGCACCTGCAAACAGGCCCAGGGGATGAGGTTTGATCCCCGGGCCTGCCATGCTGGCCCTACCACTGGGGCTCCCTGAGACGGCAATTGAGACTGGGCGTGGTGGCACACGCCTGTAATCCCAGCACTTGGGAGGCTGTAAACAGGAGAATCATTAGGAGTCTGCTCTAATAGTGAGACTCTGAACACCCTGTAAACCCTTCCCTGAAATACAAAAGATAAAAACAAAAATTAAAAAATAAAGGTAAACTTAGAAAATCATGTAAAATACAGATTTGTGAATGAAAACTATGAAAAACAAGGTTGGGAGCGAAGTGTTCTGTGTGTGTATGTGTGTGTGTGTGTGTGTGTGTGTGTGT